CTTAGTCAGCAGACTGATCTGCAGATCAATTGCTCTTAAACAGCACCAAAAATATTTCATTGAGTTTATTTTATAACTTTCAGTAGGGCGTACTCTTTTTATTGTATTGATACGACAATAATTTTCTCTCTTAATATTGACATGTTTCATTGGTAAATGATATAAACAGCATTGATGAAACATTACATCTTTAAGAAATGCAAATATGTTTTATTGGTAAGGAGAGATAGCTGTACTTGTTAGGTTTTAGTGAGGGTGTACCTATTTATGCTGTATACTGTAAATATTTTTCATGACCTCATAATTATTGACAAAAACTGGACCATCCACAGTGAAATAGAATGCAATATGTCACCATATAAAATTGAACAAATTCAACACTACCTTCAGCTAAATACTGTGGAAAAGGTTTGTTGTAATGGGTAACATGAATATTCTTTCTGAATACCTTCATTTACCATATTAATTACTTCACCCTACTCTGCACACCATTAACTCCAAAATCTCCTAGTGCAGGGTGCAGTAAGGTTGTATGACAGGTAAGTATATTTTAAATTAATTAGGATTTTGACGAAGTCTTAAATTAGGTACATGCTGGCATATCTATGATTTGTACCATTTACTGGAGAAATCAGGTAACAGATGACAATGATAAAGACACTGAAACGTAATGCCAGGGTAATTAGTGTCTGGGAAAAATGATACAACCATGAAGAGCAACAGGAGAGACTGACATTAGAACAGTCAAAACACTGAAGCCAAGCATTCTTTAGGTTGTTTACATGCAGACAAGCATGCACTCATATTACCTTATTGTGGATGCACAATTTCTACATTTGAACGATCTGGACACTTGCAGTCAAAGCCAAGTCAGTGAGCACTCGTCTTGCCAGCACCTCCCATGTTATTCCATATCATCACGCAGAGCCAAGATTACAGTATGTTTACCCACTGGCTTTTCATCTACAGAAGTCTGTCTGATTAGAGTTTCAAATTGCTGCAAGCTTGTTCTGATACATTGCTGCCACTGAGGACCCAATCCGTCTGATTGCTTTCAGTGACATATACAATTACCCAGCTACTTCCTGTGAAAGCAACTCTCTTGTTTCTAGGCCAGTTCCTCCTCCTTCTCTGCATCTGTCAGCAGCCATCTACCTGTCCACCCCCTCTCACCACCTATTTCTTATTTCTCATTTTGCATTATGAACCACAGTAATTAGTTCTGACCAGTCAAAGGTTTGGAAACACTTTACCATTCAATTCAATGGGAACATGTGTGTAAATTGTATGTTGCAAGTTGGAATGTAAATTTCACTCTTGTGCTAATTCTGAAAGTATGAATTTCTTAGATCCCACTTTCAGCTACAACAATGGGATCTCCATATTTCAAAAGAAGACTCAAACAAGACAAGCTATTCATCTCATCAACTGTGAACTGTAGAAGTAAATCAGAGGCCTTGTGCCCAGAAATTCTGCTATTCCACTGATATAAATCAAGAACTGTGTCTTATTAAAAAGTTCATGGCATTGAATGGTTCCCCATTGTTGCCCTGGGACTCAAGCACAGGAGTCAAGCTCAGCCCTCACATTAAAGTGACAAGTCTAGCCTGCCTGTTGTTAACCAGACCAGGTTTCTAATCAAAATAATAGGGTGAGGCTGAGGAATTAATCCAACTCTTAACTATAATATTAACTTTGTCACATTTTTACAGCACACATACAACTGCACAGATGTCGGTGTGCCTGCTTCCCCCATGCTATCTTTATCTTCTGCATGCATTTCTTGTCAGCTAATTTACCTCTTCTTCATTCTGCCACCCCTGCTTTGCTCATTTGATCCTCCCCGTCATCTTCTCACGCTTTGCTTCTCATTTTCTATCTTCACTCACCCTCTTCTTTTTATCCGTCACGTCATCCGTTTCTGCCCTGCTGTTTTCCTG